CATCAAGAAGATCAGGTCCTTTCTTTTGGAACATGCTTCACAACTCCTTGTTCAAGCTTTTGTTCTGTCCAGGCTGGACTATTGCAATGCTCTCTTGGCAGGTCTTCCAGCCAGTTCTATTAAACCTTTACAATTAATCCAGAACACGGCAGCAAGATTAATTTTTAACGAGCCGAAAAGAATGCACATCATTGTTTATCAATTTGCACTGACTACCAATAGCTGCTCAGATAAGATTCAAGGTATTAATGTTTGCCTACAAAACAACCACTGGCTCTGCACCCCTTTACCTAAATTCATTACTTCAGAGTTATGTGCCCTCTAAAAGCTTGCATTTTGATCTATTAATATGTAAGTGAATTTCGCTTTATTGTGCCATCCCAAAGAGGCACAAAATCCCTTTCACAGACTTTTAAATTAAATGTTCCATCCTGGTGGAATGACCTGCCCAACTCAATCCGAGCAGCTGAGTCCTTAGAGAATCGGCTAAAAACACATCTCTTCCATCTTTATCTGACCATCTAACTCTAGCACTCTCTATTCTAATTCTGTTCTTTATAAAAAAAAATAAAATAAAACTTGCCCCTTTTAGAATTGCACTCTATTTATTTACTAACTGCTTGTTTTCTTTAAAAAAAACTAACACTTGCTTCTCTAATCTTTTTGTATTCTATCTATTTGTTTTCTTTTTATTATACAATTAACAAAAGCAAAAAAGGCCTCTAACACTAGCTGGCTCTATTATTTTTTCTGTTCTATTTGTTTTCTTTTTATTTATTATGATTAAAAAAATGCTACTTGTACTGCATTAAGCTAACTAAAACTTGATATAGCACTTGCATATCATTCCTCTTTTGTTGATTTTGATTGCTTCCATTGTCCTCATTTGTAAGTTGCTTTGGATAAGGGATTACGGTACACGCTTTACCAACTACCCCACTGACGATTGTCTGCCGTCTTTTATAGTGTTGACCATCCCTATCACACGTTTGTGGGTGGAGCTAGTGTAATAGCCTCTGCCAACAAGGCGGGCTATTTGCACTTAATCTAAAAATGTGAACCTGTAAAAAAAAATTTAAAACTCCCCCGGGACTGCAGGTCTCTAGTTTGAACTGAAATGTGTTTTGGCAGTGCGTGTACACAACCACCCTATAATGATAACAATCCACCCAGTGGTTTTTATTTTAATCTGCTCAAATCTTTACCCCTTTCTCAAATCGAGCCGATCTCAGATACCTGTCTGTGTGACGTCACAAAAACAGGCCCCTCCCATGATAGTTTGATTGTGTGCTCAACTATCCCATCAGCAACCAGACTCAACATCTGGACATCAGTCAACTCTGTCACACATGTTCAGGTACAGCAGTGCTGAAATATGTTTTTTTGTTTTTCAATACAATGAAAGTTCATAGTTATTTAACATAAAGCCCAATAAGTCTCTCCAATTTTTGTGTTTCAATAAAAGGTATAATTTTTCTTACATTGACAGTACCTGCACTTTTTAAATTCCTGACAGAGACTTAAGTCGGCTTGTTGAAAATCACTATTTTATCATTGCTCACTTGTTATTTCAGAAGTCCACGTCCACTGTTGCGGTTCTATTGAAGCTGTGATCCGATTGGTCATCTCTGTTCTGGTGGGCGTGGCTACTGCGGCTGTTGTGGTTTATGACATCAGATCTAGAAGTGGCTAAAATGAGAGAACATATAGTACAAATATTGTGACATATGTTGGCATTTTGATCTATTAATATGGCAATATGTATTCAAGGATTTAAATTCAAGTTAATAAAATCAACAAGAGCTTTAATGTGTGGGTGCAAACTATTTAAAATCTACATCCTTTTTCATATTATATATAAATCACATTATGAGAAAAAAAATATGGCATTCAAAAGCAAATGTGGTCTAAAGGTATTGCTAGTGATGCAAAATGAAGATTTGCTTACCAAAGCTTTCCTTAATATGGTGTAGGGCCTTCTGGTGACCAAAGTACTCTTTATAACTTTATTCTATTCTTATATGCCTTGAATTTGATATTTCTGTCAAGTACATGTTTTTAAATAATTAAATTTGTAAAATGTCTTTAATAAAAAAAACTCATTTGATCTTTGAAAGTTGATTAATGAAGAGGTTTTAAATATTATTTAACTTAGTGACATGTAATAATTATTAAAAGCCCTTGTCCAAGTTACAACATCTAACTACTGGGGTGCCTCAGGGCTCAGTTCTTGGACCACTTCTCTTCTCTGTCTACATGGCATCACTAGGTTCTGTCATTCAGAAGCATAGCTTTTCATATCACTGCTATGCTGATGACACTCAACTCTACCTCTCATTCCATCCTGATGATCCGACGATAGCTGCTCGCATCTCAGTTTGTCTAACAGACATTTCTTGCTGGATGAAGGACCATCACCTTCAACTCAACCTTGCCAAGACAGAACTGCTTGTGGTTCCATCAAACCCATCGTTTCATCACAATTTCACCATCCAGCTAGGCACATCAACCATAACTTTTTCAAAAACAGCCAGAAACCTTGAAGTTATGAATGATGAACAGCTGATTTTCTCAGGCCACATTGCTAAAACTGCCCGGTCCTGCAGATTTGCTTTATTCAACATCAAGAAGATCAGGTCCTTTCTTTTGGAACATGCTTCACAACTCCTTGTTCAAGCTTTTGTTCTGTCCAGGCTGGACTATTGCAATGCTCTCTTGGCAGGTCTTCCAGCCAGTTCTATTAAACCTTTACAATTAATCCAGAACACGGCAGCAAGATTAATTTTTAACGAGCCGAAAAGAATGCACATCATTGTTTATCAATTTGCACTGACTACCAATAGCTGCTCAGATAAGATTCAAGGTATTAATGTTTGCCTACAAAACAACCACTGGCTCTGCACCCCTTTACCTAAATTCATTACTTCAGAGTTATGTGCCCTCTAAAAGCTTGCATTTTGATCTATTAATATGTAAGTGAATTTCGCTTTATTGTGCCATCCCAAAGAGGCACAAAATCCCTTTCACAGACTTTTAAATTAAATGTTCCATCCTGGTGGAATGACCTGCCCAACTCAATCCGAGCAGCTGAGTCCTTAGAGAATCGGCTAAAAACACATCTCTTCCATCTTTATCTGACCCTCTAACTCTAGCACTCTCTATTCTAATTCTATTCTTTATAAAAAAAATAAAACTTGCCCCTTTTAGAATTGCACTCTATTTATTTACTAACTGCTTGTTTTCTTTAAAAAAAACTAACACTTGCTTCTCTAATCTTTTTGTATTCTATCTATTTGTTTTCTTTTTATTATACAATTAACAAAAGCAAAAAAGGCCTCTAACACTAGCTGGCTCTATTATTTTTTCTGTTCTATTTGTTTTCTTTTTATTTATTATGATAAAAAAATGCTACTTGTACTGCATTAAGCTAACTAAAACTTGATATAGCACTTGCATATCATTCCTCTTTTGTTGATTTTGATTGCTTCCATTGTCCTCATTTTTAAGTTGCTTTGGATAAGGGATTACGGTACACGCTTTACCAACTACCCCACTGACGATTGTCTGCCGTCTTTTATAGTGTTGACCATCCCTATCACACGTTTGTGGGTGGAGCTAGTGTAATAGCCTCTGCCAACAAGGCGGGCTATTTGCACTTAATCTAAAAATGTGAACCTGTAAAAAAAAATTTAAAACTCCCCCGGGACTGCAGGTCTCTAGTTTGAACTGAAATGTGTTTTGGCAGTGCGTGTACACAACCACCCTATAATGATAACAATCCACCCAGTGGTTTTTATTTTAATCTGCTCAAATCTTTACCCCTTTCTCAAATCGAGCCGATCTCAGATACCTGTCTGTGTGACGTCACAAAAACAGGCCCCTCCCATGATAGTTTGATTGTGTGCTCAACTATCCCATCAGCAACCAGACTCAACATCTGGACATCAGTCAACTCTGTCACACATGTTCAGGTACAGCAGTGCTGAAATATGTTTTTTTGTTTTTCAATACAATGAAAGTTCATAGTTATTTAACATAAAGCCCAATAAGTCTCTCCAATTTTTGTGTTTCAATAAAAGGTATAATTTTTCTTACATTGACAGTACCTGCACTTTTTAAATTCCTGACAGAGACTTAAGTCGGCTTGTTGAAAATCACTATTTTATCATTGCTCACTTGTTATTTCAGAAGTCCACGTCCACTGTTGCGGTTCTATTGAAGCTGTGATCCGATTGGTCATCTCTGTTCTGGTGGGTGTGGCTACTGCGGCTGTTGTGGTTTATGACATCAGATCTAGAAGTGGCTAAAATGAGAGAACATATAGTACAAATATTGTGACATGTTGGCATTTTGATCTATTAATATGGCAATATGTATTCAAGGATTTAAATTCAAGTTAATAAAATCAACAAGAGCTTTAATGTGTGGGTGCAAACTATTTAAAATCTACATGCTTTTTCATATTATATATAAATCACATTATGAGAAAAAAAATATGGCATTCAAAAGCAAATGTGGTCTAAAGGTATTGCTAGTGATGCAAAATGAAGATTTGCTTACCAAAGCTTTCCTTAATATGGTGTAGGGCCTTCTGGTGACCAAAGTACTCTTTATAACTTTATTCTATTCTTATATGCCTTGAATTTGATATTTCTGTCAAGTACATGTTTTTAAATAATTAAATTTGTAAAATGTCTTTAATAAAAAAAACTCATTTGATCTTTGAAAGTTGATTAATGAAGAGGTTTTAAATATTATTTAACTTAGTGACATGTAATAATTATTAAAAGCCCTTTGTCCTAATGTTTATGGGGACATTCTACCCCAATGGTCTTACCTTCATTATGGACATTAAATTCTCACTTTGTGAATAATAACACATTTACAGCATTTACCCAGTTTATTGTAAAACCACAAAGTCAGTGTAGAGCTCTTTTGCAAAGGAAAAGCAGTAAAAACAGCCAAATAGACATATTCAAAAAGACCGACTGCAATATTAAATGAAAAGCTGTATTTTTGTCTTTTATTTTTGTATTTTTCTTAAAAGTTTCTATTTATTTGTTACATTAATTTTGTTGGTTTTAATATCGCATTAAAGGTGAAAAAAGATCTGACATGATTTTACTTGGATTCATTTTTTACATCTTAAAAGCCTGCAATTGTAACAGAGGTGTGTAGACTTCCAGTAACAGGTGATTTTAAAAGTGCTTTATTGTTAGATATGTTTGAGAAACGATGGATCAATGGGACTAATGCTTCAGTAGAAATCGTGTTAGGGACTACCCACTAATTCTGCTGGGTCAACGCAGTCATATGACCTGAAAAATAATCACACACACATGCGCACGCACACGCACACATGCACACGTACGCACACACACACGCGCACACACGCACAATTAAATATCAATTTTGCACAAAACAGATAATGTTTTCCTCTCACTGTAGTATTAACAGGCAATACTTGTCATTTCTGGCGCTCCTGCGGCGATAGAAAATCACACCAACAGCTACAGCTGCAGCCACCAGTAGAAGAACAATAACAGATAGACCTGCTACAGCACCTGGAGACAGACCTGAATCTGGAATAAAAGAGAGACTGAATGAATGAACAAGTAATATTGGTCTATAACAAGCAATATAAGATATAAGGTTTGAGAAAGTAAATGGGAACTTGATTCAGTTTAAAATAAAACACTGTTTGATTCAGTGATATCAAAATCACCGTTGATTCAGTACCAAGTCATCAAGGCAGCAAAATTAAAAAAAGAAATGTAATGATACAATTCTTTATATTTCTCTGTATGTGTCCAAATGCCTGAATGACTAAATTACACTTACTAATGACAGTAACATCGAAGCTCTTTACATGGCTGATGCTGCGGCGGCGACGACGGCTGCTGCTGCTGATCTTTAGTTCATAAACTCCAGAGTCTGTGATTCTGATGTCTGTTTTCCTCTCACTGTAGTATTAACAGGCAATACTTGTCATTTCTGGCGCTCCTGCGGCGATAGAAAATCACACCAACAGCTACAGCTGCAGCCACCAGTAGAAGAACAATAACAGATAGACCTGCTACAGCACCTGGAGACAGACCTGAATCTGGAATAAAAGAGAGACTGAATGAATGAACAAGTAATATTGGTCTATAACAAGCAATATAAGATATAAGGTTTGAGAAAGTAAATGGGAACTTGATTCAGTTTAAAATAAAACACTGTTTGATTCAGTGATATCAAAATCACCGTTGATTCAGTACCAAGTCATCAAGGCAGCAAAATTAAAAAAAGAAATGTAACGATACAATTCTTTATATTTCTCTGTATGTGTCCAAATGCCTGAATTACTAAATTACACTTACTAATGACAATAACATCGAAGCTCTTTACATGGCTGATGCTGCGGCGGCGACGACGGCTGCTGCTGCTGATCTTTAGTTCATAAACTCCAGAGTCTGTGATTCTGATGTTCATGATGGTCAGAGATCCAGTCTGATGATCCAGCTGCAGTCTGTTTCTGAATCTCTCAGGACAATGAAAATCTGTGCAGGTCTTATTGGGATCTCCAGTGATTTCAGCGATGAGAGTGTCATTAAAATACCACGTCATCACATGATTTGGTTGTTTTATTACTCCAGGATCTAAAGTAACAGATTCTCCCTCCTTCACTGACTTTCTCTTCATT